GACTTAATATGTTCCACGTTGTATCCTAGCTTGCTATCCACACCGCAACTAAATATACTAGGACTGACTCAAACTCTTTAGAGCATCTTTTAATGAAACCCAGCAGAGATTCAACTTTATTTACAGAAGTATCAATATGAACATTGAATCTGAGCTTAGAGTCAAGAATGATTTCTCCGTCGTTAAAGCACGATACACTGCCCCCTGATCAAATGTGATCATATTATTCAAATGGAGAAAGTACTTGTCAGTTAGCGTATCGACAGCATAAAAACCATAAAATTTTTCGCGAGCTTGCGAAATTATTGCCTCTCTCGGGCATTGCCTTTTCTGCAATGTAATGCCTTTTTTGAGAATTTTGATTCCTTTTCAGAGGTCACTTATTTTCGACTGCGTTAACAAACGTAACATTTTTTTTTACTTATCGATGGGCTATTACTTTTGACAGGGATAGCGTTACCAGGAATTATTCGAATCTAAACTCATTTGTGGGGAAAAAGACGCAGACCTTTTTCTTTAGGAAGTAAGCCAGACGAAGTCTGCACATATAGGTGTCAGCACGTACTGTTACAACTTTATACAAAAATGTGATATAAAATACATGGGGTATGCGATATCCGTACGATGTATGTACAATATGAACGAATTCTCACCTTATTTAATTAAGGGGAGCGACCTTTTTAGGGTTCACAGTGCAACATTGCTCCTCAGGACAATGAAATAATATAAATTTTCTGCTTCAAGAAATCCGATACATCCATATTCATTTTATCTGGTCTTAGGCTTTGTAATGTCGCCGAAAATGAAAGGCATGTAACGCATCGAGGTTGCCGTGGCATCTTGTTTTGAATAAGAATTGTTAAGACACCGCTAGCTAGGCTTAATATTTGAAAATCGCTGAATACTTTGGAACGGACCATGTAACGCAATATTTTAAACGTTTTGAGTATTTGATAACAATTTACAACGTAAATCATTGAAGATGGAAGATGAAAATGATTTTTTTGCAGCAACATCTGACATATATTATCGGACATCGCCTTCGAATTGATTTTGAAGTAAATCAATATATCTTCCGCAACGAATGTTTTGCACATTCCGCTCTTTATAACAAAACATATATTTAATATTTTTTCATTTCGTTTCTTAATGCTTTTCTATCTGTCCTCAAAACCTATCAACAGAAAATATTTATTGCTTTTACTTATCGTTTTCATCGAATTGAAGGGAAACAAAAATTGAATTAGTTGCAAACAAGAAGAGAGAGACAAGTGGAGAGAGTAGAGAAGGGAGAGAAATTGTAAATGTGGAGAGAAATGCAAAAAAAAAAGGCCTTTGGTTATTTTATATTTGTCGCTTCAACGTACACTGTCAAAATGTTAAGACTTGCAAATCCAATGTATGATCTCTTATAAGGAAGTGAACCAATGTGGTCCAAATTTAGCAAAATTAATTTCTTTGCCAAAAACTTTATTGTCTTTCGCTATTTTATTAAAGTATAAAAATAGATCCTTGTAGTCCAAACTGAGGACGGATAATTTCTACATCGATTTCCGTTGGTGGAACAGTTTTCATCATGAAATATTAAAAAGTAAACCCATTTGATATATAAAGGCCAAATTTCTGTAGGAAGATTTTATATGAGAGGACGTTCGAGCTAAATTATTCATATCAGTTTACCTTCTCTTTCTGCCCCACTTGTGGTGCAACGAAATATTAAGTTTGTGGGTATGTGTCCACAATTTTTGAGATATTTCGATGAAATTTGATACACTGATGTATTTTGGCCCAAGGATGAACGCAATTGAAAATGATTCGGACCGGACCGTTTTTTGATCGCTCCCAATATAACGCCTTATTTCGAAATATCGATAAACGCATAACAGTAGAGCGATGTAACTATTATCAAACAAATCATTTATATTTGCACATCCAAACACCTATATACATGTTTCACACATGTTTCTTAGTACGAAAGGAAGCTATCCGTTTTAATTAATTTCCATTATTTATTCCGCTTTGTGTTGTTATGCAAGTTGTTTCTATCCAATTGTTAGGTGACAGCGACGCAATTTCGCAAAAACCAAATACCTCAAAAGGATGGTGTACATGTCTGCGGATATTCAATTCTTGTACGAGCTCATGTTTGCCTTGCGCCATAACAATCCACTAATCATTGGTATCATTGATAATCCTATTTGCTGTCGTCCTATCTCTCTCTCTCTCTCTCTCTCTCTCTCTCTCTCTCTCTCTCTCTCTCTCTCTCTATAACTTTAGCGGCTTTCAATGTTGCACATACGATGGCAAGCATTTGAAATTATCATTTTCGCGTACTAATGCAAAGAAATCCTAACTAAGAAACAATACCTTGAAGTATACGTAACGATGTGCTTGATGTTCTATCAACAGCTTGCAGGAAGCTTTTTGCAACTTGAACGGCATATATTTTCTTATTAACATTGAGTATGTGTTCAAGCGATTGTATTGTCAGTAAAATCATGTATCGTAAGAAAACCACATAAGCGGCTTTTGGAAGCTGAACCGTATCTACAAATTAGTCCGATTCTAATTAAACTTAATTACAATTTCTAATAAATCTTGAATAGATATTCAAACAAACTCACATGCGAAAGGCCGGTGTTTCATTATATACTTTTGCTTATAACAAAGCAGAGTGGGGTCATATAACATATGTCACTCCCTTTGTGGCACCCATACACACAACTTATACGGCTGTAAGGTGTATGCCTAAGTAGCTTACGAAACGAAATCGACTTCATCGTACGCGCCTGTTCTTCACTTTGACTGACTGTCGTTAGCACAAAGGAAAACGAAAATAGGAAACTTGATCTCTATACTTAACGATGCGGCTTAGTCGGCCACAATAACTAAGAAATGAGAAGAGATAACCCATAGCAGCTTTTTACTTGGAATTCTCTACGTGTAACATATTTATTGAGACGGTGTAAAGCTAATATACCAACGTTCACATTTGACAAAAACCTACAATTTACACGTCATAAGGAATATTTCTTAGCGCGAGGGAAAAGATCGATCCGATTAGCCAACTGACACATGCAGTGGCCAACGCAAATTCGCTATAACGCGTACATAAATTTTTTACTTTTTATGTGACGTAATGTTATATCTACGTTAAATGTGTGAAATTCTGCGCTACTGGTCTCGAATTTTGTTTAGTGCTTAGGTTTATTGAAATCTTTATCGTTTGACTAAAACAAATCAGGTCTAAAAATTTGCACTTTCCTTATATATTTTATCTATATTTTCTATATTTTACCTTCGATTGTACAATTGCATAAGTAAAGTACAACAATGACAACAAGTAAAAAAATTGTACGTGCAACATTTGTTGCGTGATCCTAAAGAAAATGGAAAAAACTACATTTTTTACTTCAATACCTGTAGAAAAATGGGAAAAATGGGCCAAGCCTACCCCATATCATAGCGTACAAAAGTTCAATTCTATTCAGTACCTTTATAACGGGCAGAAGCAAGCTTTAAAAACACTATAAAGTATATAAGTTGTTGGCCAGTTTCAAATTTGCAATGCACCTAAGCATGTGCTTCTTCTAGCCTGACCATCGCACATTTTCCCGTTCGCAATGAAGGCGATATCGCCTACAAACTTGCACAAGAGTTTGGAAGTTGATCAAACAAGTCAAAGAACACGGCTACAACATCCACACGCCCACACCACCAAACTGAGAACAGCTTGGCTTTCCTTGGCTTTTGCTACAAAAGATACACGATATAAAGATTCACAAAATTATTCTCAAAGAAAGTCAAAAATACCCATCACCGAAGCATGAGGAGTATATTCAATCATCCGTTCGAAAAAATGTGGATGTCGTCGAAAAACTTGCACGAGAATTTAAGAAGGACCCAAAGGAAAAAGCCTTTACAGCAAATAGTGTGAACTGTAGGAAAAGTTAGTTCCACTACCCTTTTTTAGGATCGCCGTGATTAACGTAAATATATATCATGTACATCAGGTTGCCCACCCACTCTAATGCCACATGTGCAAAGCCATAATTAAGGAGGTGTGGTACCGCCGCAAGACACTTCGCTGAAAATGACATGCGAGACCTCACTGCTGCGTACAGCCCTCCGAGGCATATTCTTGGGGCAGTGGTTGTCCCCAGCTGTGCGGGGTATCAAATAACTAGGTGCGTGATAGACATCGCTCACCGACGCTAAGAAAGTAGTTTCTGTTTCATGGAGCAAGCGGCGTAGCAAATATATACAGCCTGTGTTCCGTGGCGCTTAAATTTTGCTCTCAATGGGCTTCCTCAACTCTCAAGGCTATGGGATTTTTGTACCTAAGTGGCAAGATAAATAGAAATAAAACAAAACAACCTTCGAATGTCGTTTTTCTTTTCTTTTTTCACATGAACAAAGACATACATAGGTTAGGATATAAAAATATGCATAATACAAATACAGTGACAATTTTAACGAATTAATTTTGAGAAATAAATTCCTTAAATATCAGTACAGTGGTGTGAACGAGAAGTGAGTCTATAAACGGAAGTCAAGTAAACAGGAAATTTGCGTACGATTCATTTTACGGGTGCAACGATTCTGAAAAGGACAAGATGAACGTTTTACTTTTTCATTAAATTTTAAACTGACCTTGCAGCATCTCCTTTTGATCAGCAAGAACAGTATTTGGTTGTTGTTTTTATCATTGCGTCAAAGTGTATATGTTTGTCAAAATGTTGCTTCTATCCGTTTACTAAATATTAATTTCATTGAATTCTATGTTTAAAATCTGACGTTCTTTTCTGTTTTTTGCTTTTTGTGTTTCATTCCCCTGCGTTGTGGAGCCATATGGACATTCTTAATTTTTTGATCTATGTTTTTCAGGGTTTTTCGTCTAGTATTGCTGTAGGGAAGTATTTTTTTTTTTGTTGTATTTCTTTTTCTGCATACTCGTCATTGGCGCGTGTAAACAGAAAATGAAGAACTTAGTTCCTTAGCTAGTTGTCACCATCTTGGTGGAGTTCATCGCCCTCCCCGTAAGTTCCGGAGGACCACAAAGTCAGATTATCTCTGAGCAGTTGTAAAATAAGCGTAGACTCCTTGTATAATTCTTCATCGAGTTTATCCACTTGTGCTATCCCTTCATCAAATGCTTGTTTGGCGAATTCACAAGCTTTTTCTGGTGCGAACTGAATCTCATAAAAGAACACCGAGAAGTTGAGCGCCAAACTTAATCTGGTAGGATGTATTGGCTCCATTTCAGCCTTGCCAACCTCAAATGCCTCCTGATAAGCGGTTTGAGAGTGATCAGCAACAGTCTTGCGTGCAGCTCCTGTGGCTATTTCAGCTAAATACCTGTAACAATCTCCCTTCATTTTCAGGTAAAACACCTTATTTTCTGGATCGCTGGCCTTGGGAATAAGGTATTTGTCAAGAATACTCAAAATTTCGTAACAAATATCCGTGAGTTCCTTTTCTACTCGTTCCCTGTACTCGCGAGTGACTTTATGCTTTCCGTCAGAGCCCTCGCATTTATGCTCAATTGAGGAAATTATTCTCCAGGATGACCTGCGAGCAGCAACTACATGTTTATAGGCAATCGAGAATAGATTTCTCTCCTCATTTGACAATTCCACGCCGATTTCTGTGACTGATTTCATAGCTTGAACCATATCATCATATCTTTCTGATAGTTCCGCCATTTTTGCTTTTTGTACTAATACTTCTTTATCGATTATCATCATTTGCGATTTTCAGTTTAACTCTTTATGGCGAACAAAAATAATCCAAAATGATTTTTTCGTTTTTTTTTCTATGTTCAGAGTTACCCGACACACATTTCTTGTAAATTGGAGCCGATTTCAAATATTAAATACGGATGTTAATAGTAAAATAGTAAATAAAAATTCCGTTTGAAGCTTTCACAGAAGGATCTATGACTAATTTCCTAGGGATTAAATTTGTTTTTCCATATTAAATGGAAAAATTGGATGCATTATAAAGTGCTTGCACTTACCGAGCCGTGGGTAATATAAAATACTCTGGTTATTGGTTTCAGTAAGCCTAGCCGTATGCCTTATAATTAAGATAATGCTAGTGAGGAGAGTAGTTTGCTTGGTCGTTTCTGGCAAGATTTATTCTAAATCTACACTTGAATTTCAAGGCCTTACTTGGCGTACTTACTACGTTCAATGCGGTCCCATCACATCCACATTGCAACATAACAAACACACTGGTAAATTAATATCAACGGCAAAATCTACTAATACTCTACGTATAGCTGTTCGCAGGCCAGGAGTATTCCACTATTGTCCTGAATTGGCCGTGGGAATTCTCTGCAGCTATCTAAAAGCGAACCCGTCACATAATCTAGGCAAATAACGATCGAAAACTAGTGCTATTTCCGAGCACGACATTGTCTAGTACACTGCATCGAAAATCAGTAGCGACATTGGTGAGTAAGAGAACATTAGTGTACAAGTGCCCGATTTTCGATTATAATTACGTAGCGAGTTTATGTATTGTTGAAACCCAATAGTTGGTTCAACTTTACTTTAGTGGAGTTGCGGCGAACGAATGTTTACGAAAGCTGTATGTGCTTAATATAGTTTATAAAATGCAACCTGAAGCCAGGCCAAGAAAGAAACTGCAATCCTATCTCCCAGACCGATTGTGAGAACACTATTATTCACGCAATAGAGATAATAAGCAATGGCCGGCAATACCTGATGAAAGTGTTATGTCGTCGTCACGGCAAAGATATTCGCTAATAAGCCAATAATGACGATGTCGTTAAGAACTTGTGCTGACGCAAATTGTTTCTCGATCCTTAGTCATCGCGCTGTACAATGCATTTTAACTCAGAATTATTGTTATATTGATTGCGTTTCCTGTGCCAAACCAATTTAATGCTAAAAGTACTGCGCTGCTCTTTTACGGGAATTTAATGAAGAGTCAATTTAATTCAAGAATACCGAAGAAGAAGAAGAGTTTTCTGGCGAAATAAAAGTCAGGAAAGTGTTTTATAAGCAACTTCTTCTAACAAATTCTTTTATAAAAAGAGAGAGAAGTGTAAGCGAATTTTTATTTGCAAAGACATTTTTTGTTGTTGTCATACTGATGGTGTATAACATTGAGTATCATGCGATGCTAAAAGACTTCTTAAGCCCCAAATAAGTGGAAAATAATTACTATTAACACGTTATGTTTGCGTGACACAATGTGGAAGGACGTACTTTTAACAAACGTGCGGAGCAAAAATAGTATTAATATTTCTGGCTTTGGGATCAGTTAGTAGCCATCAAAAAACAGTGTGCACTCTTGTTGTGCTCACCTTGTCTCAATTCAATTCAATATCAGCCTTATTAAAAAGTAGAGGGGCAAAACCCATGCCCTTCCACTTGAGAGAATATAGTAACATGAACTGTTTTTTGTGAGTTTACGTTATTGATTCAGCTCCTTTTGAGATAAAGTTCGTGCCGCTGCATTACGATTTTTAGGACAGTATAGGTTTCATTTGTAATCCTTAGGAGAGAACTACAAATTATTTACAAGAATCTATGCTCACAATCCTTTAATCCTCGTTCTGGTTTTGCTTTCTGCTCTTGGCTCACTTTTCGATCTACCTTCGAGTGACTTTGCTCATAAACCCTCTTACAAGCAAGTCACGATTAGCTAAACTCATCACGACATTTTTAATCTGTTTTTCGGCTAAAATTCTGTCAACTTTTGTTAGTCTTCTCGCCAGTTGCCGCTTTCATGAAAACTGAAATCATCAAATATGGCATCTTCGTAATAATAGGAGCACAAGGGCGAGGCATGCCGAGCCGGCATAATTAACGACCTAAAAACATGAAATAAAAAGGCGACGAACTCTTATTGACGTAAGTCGGTTGTAATTGCTTGACGATAGTCATTTGAATGATGTTAGCTTTTCACTCATAAATATTATACATTACGGTTTTATTTTCAATAAAAATGTTCAATGTTTGCTGACAATGTTTACACCTGCACACTATATGTACATCAGTTGAATATATCAGCAGTCATATGCAAATCGTGTCGCCACAGATCAGGGCGTGTAACTATAAAACGAAACTGTCAGAGATAAAATAAAATTGTGTATTTAAAGAAAATATAAACACGAGAGTAAAAAAACCGTTAGTCAACATCAAGCATTAATAATATACAGCATCAATAAAAAATGTTTATATATATGGAAAATAGACAAAGGTATAAACCATATGGTATATATAAATATATATAGCGCGTATACATCATTGTGTAGAAAATTAAATTCGGTCGGGATCGACTATTTTGAACCCATTAACGTTTACCCCAAAAAAAGACAAAAGAAGTAAGAGCACAAAATTCTCATACTGTGCAGTATGAAGTGGGCGCAGCTGATTTTTTCCATTTTGAAAATAAAAGTTTTCGTCGTACAGACATGTGGGCGTTGTGGGCATGTCCTTCGAACGATTTGGCCCATTTTCAGCACCAACTAGCGTGCAAGAACTTTCAATGTTTACAACAGCCATTAGACAGGTGGCCACAGACGGATATGCTTAAATCGTTTTAAAATTTAATGCTGATCGGGAATATATATATTTTGTGGGGTCTCTGATGATTCCTTCTGCGCTTTGCAAACGTTTTGACAAAGTAAATATATACCCCTCACCCGTCGGTGATGGGTATAAAAATGGATGTCATGCATGTTAAATAAGGAGAAAGAAAAAAGGAACGAAAGTGAAAATATCCTTTTCTGTAAACAAACAAACGAACTGTTACAAGAGCTGTCAATATTGGCTACAATGTTCTTTTCATTTGCTCTCTTGTCGTTTTTTACTTTTACGTATGGCGTTTGTTCGCGTTTTCTACCGTATCAACGAAAACAAACAAGAATTACATTCGGTTTAAATCTTCCCATTACTAGTATATGTAGCATTAGTTTGTATTCAAAACTTTATTACAAGTTGAAGCGAAAATCCGTTTATCAATATGCATATGACAACGTAAACATTGAGATAAGTTGCATTTTCATCCTCACAGACAGAAGGTATCCATATACCGCGAACGGTGTACGGCACGCTAGACTTAACATAACCGTGTCAATGTATTTTGATGCCTAATCTACAGAGTGCAAAATTCACGATATCCTGATGAAATTTGGTACACTGGTGTGCTTGGGTGAGTGGCAGCTGAACGAGAGTCGTTGCTGATCGCGACGCTTCTCCGAACACTATTTCCGAATATTAATATTTTAGATAGAAATTGACTTAGAATTCTGATTTGATTTATAAATTGACTATGCTAAGTTTGGACAGCATTTGGAAGACATTTTTGGCACCCATGTCTTAAAGGGGTTTTCAAGCAAAAATACGCCTTGCGTGAATAGAAGACGTAATACGTGTCATTGCATGGCGAGGATGGATAAAAAATAATGATGTTAAACGCCTTTCACCACCCTATCGGTATTCACGTCACCTTTTCAAAATAGGGGAGGGTTATATAGTAAGTAGTGGAACTAGTGGCGCGATCCGAACCATATCCATTAGCGCTCATCTTTGAACCAAAACACATCAATGTTAAACGAACATATCTCAAAAGTTGCAGATCGTAAGTTGAACACAAGAAAATAAGACAGATAGACGGGCAGGCGAGCTTAAAACAGAATCACTTTCTGAATCGATGGGTTTAATAATAAAAGGTGCGCCTATGTCGAGTTCTTCTGGGTGTTGCCGGGTAAATATATCCTTTTACCACAAATAGCGTAAAATATAAAAAATAAAACTAATTTATGTTTTTGAAATAAAACAGCTTCGTAAGAGTTGTCCTTAGTGTAAATAGTTAGTTGGTTATCCTTTCTTTTGTTTCTTTACATCAACCTCTAGTACATAAACATACAGATAACGGTTTGAATGTACAATCTCTAAGGATGATTAGGAAGAACAGAAAGCATTTAAATTCAAGCCAAATCTTATTTTTACATTTATTCTAAATCAGGTCTTACTTTATTTAAATTTCGCTTACTATGCAAGCAATTTTATAGATTAGAAAATAAGTTGCGGTAGAGCCATAAATTACCATGTGTTCATACATCTAGCGTACGTTACTCCCATCTAAAAATGCAAACATGATAAAAAAAATCTGAGATAGTCACGTTTACTTACTTGCCGCCCCCTTTTTCGGGTAAAGTTGTCTCTTCATCATTCTTCTTCGACTGGGTTTCGAGCTTTAATCGCCAAGTTTTATCCATTTTTACTTGAGATGATGAGTATGATGCAGATGAGCAAAGTAGGCATGTCGCGAATTTTACATTAATATCCCCCAATAACTTTTGCGCCATCCACAGGAAGGGTTTCTCCAAGTTATAGTTTAATCTGGAAGACGTAGCAAAGTATCGCGTATTGTTGTCTCCAGGCAAACAAATGTTTTTGTTTTCAATTCTGCGATCTTGCAAGTCAACTCTATTCGCGCACAAAACAACGGGAATACTGTCACAAACACGTCGCAGATCAGCATACCAAGCCGGGTAATTTATGTATGTCATACATGATGTTATGTCAAACATAATAATCGCGCATTCTGCGTGAATGCAGTAACTGTCGCGAAGGCCACCAAATTCTTCTTCACCTGCTGTATCCCATACACTAAAAATAATCTCCCCTTTATTTGTAGAAAATGTTTGCGAGTGCACTTCGACACCTTGAGTCGGCACGTAGTGCTTTTTGAATTACCTTGTCAG